AAATTCATGGCGTACGGATCAACTAGGGTTCAAAGCCACTTTGCGGTGCGATTGAAGGGGGCTGGGTCAGAAGCAGCCGCGAATCGCGTACGCGCGTCGGCGTAAGACGTTTTGAACGCCGCTCAATGGGGAAAGCTTTGGGGCATCAGACTTCGGGGGTTCATGTCCAACCACTTAGGCTCCCTATAGCTTATGGCCATGGGGCTAAAGAATTGGGGTGGATCAGGTACTCAAGGGGCTAAACATAGGGCTTGGATGTAGTGCATAGTTTACTGCTATTATGTTTTAACTTGGTTTAGTGGCTACGGCTGTTTCCCAAAATGTTGGATTCCTGTAGGTGGGTGGTTTCCGCTTGACTTCCCTCAAACATCCAAAAAGAGCCCGCTATATCTATATATATACCCTCCCACCAATTGACATGGAACCCGACAAGGGGTGCCTTTAAAAGGAAGATGGTCTTCCGGGACCCCTCTGCTAGATTCCAGGTTAAGTGGTGGGAGGGTACCACTGACAGCGCAATACATACCACCTGAACTCATGTCAGACTGAACACCTCAGCGTATATTTTTGCTCTTCCCGAAGCCTCCAACCATAGCTATCCTTTTCATCGGTGAGCTTGATGACAGAAATCCATGGGTGTCTGCTTTAGATGGGTTTTATGCCTCCACTTACCGGGAAACTCATCGATTTTTTTGCCCCAAAAATTCAAAAGGCCACCGCTTGGATCCAAGCCCTGTCAACTCTGCTGACCTCTGCCGCCGCAAGTTCTGTCAGGGGCCAGAGAGCGACCTACTAGGCGGGCCCGGGCTGCCAACTACCAGGAGAGCTTTTGCGCGCGAGGTTGGGGATCTGTTCGATTGGATTTGAATGGTCTCTTGACTTTGAAAGGGCTCGGGAGTAAAAAGGCATGCATTCTAGATATTTAGCTTCCAACAGGACTTTGGAGTTGAAAGGGGGCTTTTTCAAAGTCGATTTTGGATGTAAGAAGGACTTCGGATCTTACAAGGGTTTGGGATGCACAACAAGGGTTGGATCACAAAAGAGTCTGGGTGAGAAACAGATATTTGGCGTGGACGGATTTGGGACTTAAACAGCTGTTTGGATGTACGATTTATGTTTGGATTAAACAAGGATTTCTGGTGTTTAAGCATATGTCAGACTTAGCCGGTTTTACATTCACAACGGATTTTGGAGTTGAAACATGACGAACTGATAACAACATAGTTTCAGAGCACCCTTAGTGGGTTTTGAGGGTAAATGGTTTTGTTCACCCCACCTCCAAACCACCAAGAGGAAGCAGATGAGACCGGTTCTTTGCCGAGCGCCAGGTATTTTGGACCCCTACCGTTTTGGTGGGACTCTTCGGGAAGGCTTGGAAGGCTTGAAAGCCGGCCTGGTTCTGGTGGTCCCCTTCTATGAAGCAATGGGTGGGTGGGTGGGTGGGTGGGTGGGTGGGTGGGTGGGTGGGTGGGTGGGTGGGTGGGTAATTTTGAGGGTACTTACCACCCCCCCCATTTTGAAGTTTATTGATCATAAAGAAAGAACGGGTTTGGGGTCGGGCTAAAAAGACGCAGAATATCGTGTGGGCAAAGTGTTGGGCCTCTGCAGCTACGGACTCCCTGGCTTCAAGAGCCAACGCAAAGTCAACCATTTGGAGCCGTCGAGATTTGGCAGATACCCACAAGATGAACATCTGTGGAAACCCGATTGTCAGACAAGACAACCCTGGGTTGAATTGCTGCAAAACATGGGTTGGTTGCGGCCATGATGCGATGGGGTCTGGCCCACTTTCTGTGATATCCCAGTGGCAAAGTGGTTGCAAAGGTCGACTTTGGCAATGTTGACCCCGGATAAATAAACCCCTGTTTATCAATATGGGGGTGTCCCTGGTTTTAGTGAGGATTTATCACTTTTGGAGGGCAACACCCCCATATTAATAAACAGGCGTTTATTCATCCGGGGTCAACATCACCAGAGCCGGGGGAAACTGCAGGACTGAAGCCAAGTCCTCGCGATCGATCCAATCTGTGCCCGGGCTGCATTGCATTCGTGGTGAGCTCACTCGGACTCTTCCCAAGGCTTAAAAAATATCGTGCGGCCGCCTGTTTAGTTCTTTACAGATTCTTTACATATTTTCGGGTCGACCACTTTGCCAGGTTTTGGTTCTGGCTCCTATGCTGGGACCTTACTTGCAGATTACTTGGTCCTGGTTGATGAAACATGGCTTGGCGGGGTACACCCAGGCATGCGTACTTATTTGTCAGCGGCACCACCAACGACGAATCGTGGTCAAAGTCAGGAGCCCCCGCAAAACAGTTGGTTTCCTTTCTTCTAACAACGGACCAGAAAGGTCGATTCTCCAAGGGTCCCAAAAGGAAGGTCCCCTCTTTTGCCGAGGAAATTCCCTCAAACACCCAAAAAACCGCGCCAAGACTCTGACGGCTTCCTGAAGCTACATGCGCTTGAGGTGCAGCCGAAGCCGCAGCGGTGCACTGCACCTCGGCTCTAAGCATCTTCCAGGGCTGTTTCCTAGTGTAATTTTCGCCAAAACTGGTGCTTGAATCAGATTTTGGTTTGGTGAAATGTCAAATGTCAGCTCGGGGTGAAGAAATCCATCCAGGAACGATCCTCGGTTCAAAGGCAGTTGGTTTCCCTACTAGAACGGTGACGAATCACTGCGTTTAGCACCCGTCAGCTTGGCAAACAACATGCCGAGAGCGATACTGACGTGGCGTGTCCCTTGGCTTCCTCCCTCACGTTTCAAACTACCCGCCCTATTTGCTGACTTGGCGCACGGCTTTTCGGTTCTGCGCCGACCTCCCATCCTACATGTTTTTCTCGCTCCGGTAGTTGACAGAAATGGTTGGCGGCAAGGTCGGTCCTTTGTTGCGCAATGACCTTTGTGCTTTATGGAGGCAAAGCCTCTCACTCGCTGGGGGGTGCTATGGGATGATCTCTCCACCGTTAGGCCCAGAGCCCCCTAGCGGCGTCGCGTCACGCGAGGAGAGAGCAAGTGGAAGGTTTCATGCACCAGCCAGCTGCTTACCGCAGCTTAGGGAGTTACATGCGATCGCAAGCTTAATGGATATGAATCCCCAAAAAAGTTTCCCGGAAATTTTGCACACACATGATGAATGCTCACGTGACAATTCGGGCTCGGATGGGATGGCAGACTGGCCATAAAACGTCAGCCTCAAAACTGAGACGGAACCCCCAATTGTTCTTCATCCCTGGGTATAAGCAAGCCCAGCGCTTTGTCAACAGGCTGGCGTTAAGCACTGTGAAAGGTGCGTGAACAACCCGTGAAAGACCGTGAAAACCCCGTGAAAACAGCGTGAAATGACACCCATCGTTTACTCGTGCTAGGCCTGGGAAGTGACAACCATTGGTAGTCTACTCATGGGGATCCAATTTGCCAATGGGTTTTTTGCCGCAGGTGCTTCGCCCCGTGAGTTCCGCAGCCGCGGATCGCCCCAGCAACAGTCATCGTCAGGACAAAGGGCGGCCAACGTAGCGACGTCACGTTGCAGGGTTCGCGACGTCACTCAAAGGCATTGTTCCTCTCTCGGCGTCTTCTTTTTTTCGGATGAGCTATTGTGATTTGGCTTGATGTGTGTGTGTGTGTTTTCTTTTTTTCCGGGTAAACTATTTTGATTTGGCTTGATCAATAGGGCAAGACCTGGGAAACCGCCGCAGGTCTCAGCAATCCAACCTCGGTCTTTGGATTTCAGATATGGCCTGAGCTGCCTTTGCTCTGGCCTCAGCTGGTCACCTTTTCCGCTTGGATATCCCATCTCCCTACGCTTACCATGGGATGTAGGCCCCAAGGAAAGGAACGGGTCCTTGCGCATTTGCTCGTGAAACCGAGGAAAGGAGTGTCGAACCATGGGCTTAGTTACAGCTCCGTCGGTTCGCTTTGGCTCATGGACTTCTTGGACTTATTTGGGATGTTCAGTCGCAAGCGAAGCGTTAAAGCGCGTCTCCAGGACAGCCACGGGGGAGATCACGGCACAGGCACGGAGTGTTGAATTCGCGAAATGGGACTGGGGGTCTCGAATGGTTTCACGTCTCATCTCATAGGCGAAACAGTTCCGTGTTCCCAAGATTCGGGCCAAGGAAATGGGTTGAACGGTTGACCCATGTTACGCATCCGTTAGGCAAAGAGCCGCCGTGGAGGAAAACAACACGTTGTGAGCGAGTTTAGGTCCAGGTGGCCAGCCAATCAGAGCTTTGGGGTCATTATGACGGTTTCTGGGGGTTATCAAAATCAGAAAATGGAATTGGTTATTTCCCTGCCCACCACTGAACGGGGGTGACTTTGATCATGGTAAAGTAATGAAGCCAGTACCTAGCTGACTACTTCTATCAAGGGGGCAGCCTGTTGTAGACCTCCGACATGACTCTGGCCACGGCACGGGCATGCTGCGCATGTTTTTTTGTTTTTTTTTTACCCGTTCTGGGAGGGTTTTAAAAGACACCAACAGGACAACCAGCAATTTTGGGGGTCCCCTACAAAGGAAAGTGTCTTTGCCACATCTCGCGCCCCGATTCATTTGGCTTTGGCAGACACCGAACACGACGACGACGGGGAAAGACTAAATCGCCCCAACATGCGACTGGGAAATTTGGATCGCGGAGGAGCCATCAGGTTTCCAGGAGTACCAACTGCGACCTGTCAAATGACATCATGTGACATTCCAAGCTTGACTAAATAATGTAGGGGAATCTAGAAATGACATTTCTCGGTGGCTCCCAGCCATTCGGTTCCTTAGCTTTTTAGCTGGTAGTTTCCATTTAACCCAGTAAAAGTTAAACTTTTGGCGGGGGATCTGAGGGCAGCCCAGATTTTAGGTCTGGGCAACCACTGCTTGTTTGGTTCTGAAGGGAAGCCAAACTCAGAGTGTGGCAACGAGCAAAGCAGACGGCCGATTGGCCGTGACGTGTCCAGCCACTGACCCATGACATAGCCGGGAGCCGCTGTGGGTGGCTCGGCCACGGCCATGGAATCTCGGCGCGACTTTTGCTGGAGGGGCGCCGCCCTTTTGACTTAGGTCAGGGGACAGGTCACCCAATTGAAAGAACCAAATGGGTGGGTTGTAAAGAAAATAGGGATTCATTTGAGTCTGAAAGGTCCGAGGGTCCAGAATTGTGACAAGCTCCCAAGTGGAAACCAAGCATACAGGGCTGAGCACATGTTTCAGGCTGTGTCTCCAATGCAGCATTTGTGCCGGTGCCACCTACGTTGCTATGAGATCATATTTGCCTCCGGGTGTCCCTCATATTTACTGTGAATCCCTTTGGCTTGCTTTACTTCAACATGCGGACAAACAGATTCCCATGGTCATGTAGACACAAAACAGGAGCCATTTTAGCTTGCCACGCCAATCGACCATGTTGATGCACGTGTTCGAACGATAAAGTAAAATGTGTCAGGGAAGGTCAGGACCCGGCCAGACAAGGGAATCTATCCCTACTGGACATATTTTTCTCATTTTGGACGTATTCGCAATTGGAGACATTTGAACTCATGGCCAGCTTAAACCTAAAGTTATACATGCCAGACCCACAGACTCAAAGAAAGAAATCGTCACACGCACACGCATGCAGGCACAGAACCGTAGATTTCCATACAATGCCAATGATCAAGTTCTACATTATTTAATGTACAATTGTCCCACATTCTCAAGTTTAAAATTACACCAGCCTCGACCCCAAACAGCAACACAAACATGACAGGCCTGTACAACCCAAAAAAGGCTTGTCTCCTTCATGTAAGGTGCGAAATTGAGAAGCTTACGTGAGCAACACATAGTTACAATCAGTCTATGTATGTCTTTGTAGGAAGTCCCCTTTTTTGGGAAGAGGACACATCGGGTCCATCCATCTCCATGACGCCGGGAAAAAGCGTCGATGTTGCTCATCGACTTCGAGGAGAAAATGCCATGTCAACGCCATGTTCGAGGGTGAAGGCCCCAGGGATTCGGGGCGAATCAACCTAACACCTGGCATTAATCAAAGGAAGTTTCGAAGGAACTTCCGTAGTACGGACACTCAATGCACTTTTCCATCACCGCAGCATTTGGTGGCCGTCTCGCTACTCTGCTGAGTCTCAGCAGCTTGCGGCCGAGACTGGGCACCTGCCACTTCTGGTTGCTATCTTCTTCTCGAGCTCGGCTAAAGGTCTTGCGACACGCAAAGCAAGAGAGAACTTGCGTAAACTTGCAGACTGCGGCATTAGCAACTCTTATTGGATTATACAGCCACCGACCATGTGTCGAAACATGGCCATGACCGTGTGTTGCAATTATCACATTGAGCACAGGAGCCGCCATTCCGTAATGTTGCTGGGGAGCTCGCCACGCACGCAGTGTGTCCAGCAGCACCGAAACCTTTTGCGAGAACGGGTCGGACTTGATGTTCAAGGCGTAGTGGAGGCGAAGCTGTGTCGTCAAAGAAGAAATGGATGGGCCATGTCTTTAGCACGTGTTGCTTCGGTGAGCGATGGTCTTGATGCTATCAGCACATCCCTCCAGCTTGGTTTCCCGACAAGCCACGTATGCTGCGAGCAAGTAAATCAGAATCTTGCCCAGAGCTGCCAAATTCAAGTCGAGATCTCGGAAAAGAACGTTGATTGCGAGAATGAAACAGAATTGCTCGGATTCCAAACATACTCACTGCGGGAGGCTGGCTAGCGCAAGCGCCATGCAATACAGCTCACGTTGAACTGCTTTGGTGTTCCCTGTGTCCAGAGACTGTAGGGGAGCTAGCGCCTCAGAGAATGATAGTGGCACCTTACGACGTCCCACCATGAAAACCCTTGAGCCTGAGCACCTTCGGACACGTGCAAAACAGCAGCGTCCAAGTATGTGGAAAACAAGGCTGAGAAATCTGTCTTCAACCCTTCTGTCAGGAGGCAACGAGATGTGTCAAAAGCCGCGACCTTGGCATCACGAAGGTGTGAAATGCTTCAGCAAAATGCGTTTGTCAGTGGGACTGGTTACGAAGGTTGCAAAGGGGAAAAAGCGTCGGAGGACTAGCTAGCGAAGCGAAAGACTGGATATGATTTTGGCCGGGCCACATGGCTATCCAACTGAGAAGGTGCTAAATACTGGCAACAAGATAGGACGCGAGGTTTACAACAGCACTGCCAACAAGAAAGGGTGCTCGAACTACAGTGATGATACCAAGAGGAAACTAGCGGATGGGTGGCCCGAAAGCATGAGCAGTGCGTTCCTCTGAGCAAGTTGTTGGCACACTACAACTTCCTAGTGCAACTCATTACTGCAACTTGCTAGTGCCACTTGCTGGTGCTACTTGCTAGTGCCACTGGCTAGCGCTATAACGGTCCTGGAGAAGATAGAAACGTCGTGCGCTCCCAAAGATGCATTTGGGAGGGTTGTGCCGCGCAAAGATAGAAACCTTTGCGCGCGCTCCCAAAAAACAACACTCTAAGAAGGAGAGTAGTATTCGAGGCGCCGCTTTTTGGGAGCGCGCGCAGGTGCGAGAGTTTCTATCTTGCTGAAACCCTGCAGAGGGTTCATTTTGCATTCGCAAGTAACATCCGCAAATGTCAGAACAGTATACTGGCAAATAAAACTAAGTACTGGCAATACTAAATTTAGCACTGGCAATACTACATTTAGCACTGGCAAAACTAAAATTAAGCACTGGCAATTCCAAATTGCAATTGGCAGTACTAAATTTACTACTGGCAATACTAAATTGCATAAGCACTAGCAAGACTAAGTTCAAAATGTGGCATTTGACAATGCTAAACTGAATACTGACATTGCCGTTTTGATTGAACGCCCAGTCAAAAGTTTCTATCTTGGTGCAAACCCTGTATTTTACAGGGTCTGCAGCAAGATAGAAACTCTTGCAACACCTCATGGCCGAATTGATCATAATATGTACGGAAGGCTAAACCTAGCACTAAATGGTGCATTTGCCATACAAAATGAAGTGCCGGCAATACAAATTTAAAGTATTTTTAGTACTGACAATACCAATTTTATTATAATACCACCACATTTGCGACTCAATACTGGATTCAGTGCTGGTAGTACTAAATTTAGTACTTGCAACACTAAGGGAACACACAATTAGGTACTGGCAATACTAAATTTAGTACTGGCAATACTAAATTTAGTACTGGCAATCCTCAATTTGGTACTTTCAATCACTTTGACTTTTCTGGGCCATGGGCCGTAGCAAAAGTTTCTATCTTTCCGCAAGGCCTGAAAAACACAGGGCTTGCACAAAGATAGAAACTTTTTGGATCCTTCCCTGGAACTGCAAACGACACTCTGTCCGAAACTGTTCTACTCTTGTGCGGGACCCAGACGTCTACTGAGGGGGTGATTGTGGACTTGCAGAGCTACCCCCCCTTCTAGAAGCCCAAAATCATGTCAAAATGCATTTTTTTAGTAAGGAGTTTAACCAATTCAATTCCTCGCCAAAAAATCGTACTGGCAATATATACTACATTCAGTACTGGCAATACTACATTTAGTACTGGCAAAACTAAAATTAAGCACTGGCAATTCCAAATTGCAAATTGGCAGTACTAAATTTACTACTGGCAATACTAAATTGCATAAGCACTAGCAAGACTAAGTTCAAAATGTGGCATTTGACAATGCTAAACTGAATACTGACATTGCCGTTTTGATTGAACGCCCAGTCAAAAGTTTCTATCTTGTTGCAAACCCTGTATTTTACAGGGTCTGCAGCAAGATAGAAACTCTTGCAACACCTCATGGCCGAATGGATCATAATATGTACGGAAGGCTAAACCTAGCACTAAATGGTGCATTTGCCATACAAAATGAAGTGCCTGCAATACAAATTTAAAGTATTTTTAGTACTGACAATACCACTTTTATTATATACCACCACATTTGCGACTCAATGCTGGATTCAGTGCTGGTAGTACTAAATTTAGTACTTGCAACACTAAGGGAACACACAATTAGGTACTGGCAATATTAAATTTAGTACTGGCAATACTAAATTTAGTACTGGCAATCCTCAATTTGGTACTTTCAATCACTTTGACTTTTCTGGGCCATGGGCCGTAGCAAAAGTTTCTATCTTTCCGCAAGGCCTGAAAAACACAGGGCTTGCACAAAGATAGAAACTTTTTGGATCCTTCCCTGGAACTGCAAACGACACTCTGTCCGAAACTGTTCTACTCTTGTGCGCTGAGGGGGTGATTGTGGACTTGCAGAGCTACCCCCCCTTCTAGAAGCCCAAAATCATGTCAAAATGCTTTTTTTTAGTAAGGAGTTTAACCAATTCAATTCCTCGCCAAAAAATCGTACTGGCAATATATACTACATTCAGTACTGGCAATACTACATTTAGTACTGGCAAAACTAAAATTAAGCACTGGCAATTCCAAATTGCAATTGGCAGTGCTAAATTTACTACTGGCAATACTAAATTGCATAAGCACTAGCAAGACTAAGTTCAAAATGTGGCATTTGACAATGCTAAACTGAATACTGACATTGCCGTTTGGATTGAACGCCCAGTCAAAAGTTTCTATCTTGTTGCAAACCCTGTATTTTACAGGGTCTGCAGCAAGATAGAAACTCTTGCAACACCTCATGGTCGAATGGATCATAATATGTGCGGAAGGCTAAACCTAGCACTAAATGGTGCATTTGCCATACAAAATGAAGTGCCGGCAATACAAGTTTAAAGTATTTTTAGTACTGACAATACCAATTTTATTATGTACTACCACATTTGCGACTCAATACTGGATTCAGTGCTGGTAGTAGGAAATTTAGTACTTGCAACACTAACGGGACACACAATTAGGTACTGGGAATATTAAATTTAGTACTGGCAATACTAAATTTAGTACTGGCAATCCTCAATTTGGTACTTTCAAGCACTTTGACTTTTCTGGGCCATGGGCCGTAGCAAAAGTTTCTATCTTTCCGCAAGGCCTGAAAAACACAGGGCTTGCACAAAGATAGAAACTTTTTGGATCCTTCCCTGGAACTGCAAACGACACTCTGTCCGAAACTGTTCTACTCTTGTGCGGGACCCAGACGTCTACTGAGGGGGTGATTGTGGACTTGCAGAGCTACCCCCCCTTCTAGAAGCCCAAAATCATGTCAAAATGCTTTTTTTTAGTAAGGAGTTTAACCAATTCAATTCCTCGCCAAAAAATCGTACTGGCAATATATACTACATTCAGTACTGGCAATACTACATTTAGTACTGGCAATACTACATTTAGTACTGGCAAAACTAAAATTAAGCACTGGCAATTCCAAATTGCAAATTGGCGCCCAGTCACAAGTTTCTATCTTGTTGCAAACCCTGTATTTTACAGGGTCTGCAGCAAGATAGAAACTCTTGCAACACCTCATGGCCGAATGGATCATAATATGTATGGAAGGCTAAACCTAGCACTAAATGGTGCATTTGCCATACAAAATGAAGTGCCGGCAATACAAATTTAAAGTATTTTTAGTACTGACAATACCAATTTTATTATGTACCACCACATTTGCGACTCAATACTGGATTCAGTGCTGGTAGTACTAAATTTTGTACTTGCAACACTAAGGGAACACACAATTAGGTACTGGCAATACTAAATTTAGTACTGGCAATACTAAATTTAGTACTGGCAATCCTCAATTTGGTACTTTCAATCACTTTGACTTTTCTGGGCCATGGGCCGTAGCAAAAGTTTCTATCTTTCCGCAAGGCCTGAAAAACACAGGGCTTGCACAAAGATAGAAACTTTTTGGATCCTTCCCTGGAACTGCAAACGACACTCTGTCCGAAACTGTTCTACTCTTGTGCGGGACCCAGACGTCTACTGAGGGGGTGATTGTGGACTTGCAGAGCTACCCCCCCTTCTAGAAGCCCAAAATCATGTCAAAATGCATTTTTTTAGTAAGGAGTTTAACCAATTCAATTCCTCGCCAAAAAATCGTACTGGCAATATATACTACATTCAGTACTGGCAATACTACATTTAGTACTGGCAATACTACATTTAGTACTGGCAAAACTAAAATTAAGCACTGGCAATTCCAAATTGCAAATTGGCAGTACTAAATTTACTACTGGCAATTCTAAATTGCATAAGCACTAGCAAGACTAAGTTCAAAATGTGGCATTTGACAATGCTAAACTGAATACTGACATTGCCGTTTTCATTGAACGCCCAGGCAAAAGCTCTATCTTGTTGCAAACCCTGTATTTTTCAGGGTCTGCAGCAAGATAGAAACTCTTGCAACACCTCATGGCCGAATGGATCATAATATGTACGGAAGGCTAAACCTAGCACTAAATGGTGCATTTGCCATACAAAATGAAGTGCCGGCAATACAAATTTAAAGTATTTTAGCTACCACATTTGCGACTCAATGCTGGATTCAGTGCTGGTAGTAGGAAATTTAGTACTTGCAACACTAAGGGGACACACAATTAGGTACTGGCAATTAGGTACTGCATTGCTAGAACTAAATGTGGCATTGCCTGTACTAAATGTAGTACATTACCAGTAATAAATTTACAATTCCCAGTACTTGATTCAGTATTGCCAGCGCTAGATGTGGCATTGCCAGTACTATGCCCCATACTAAAAATTGAATCTCGAATACTACTTTCCTATTCGGAGCACGTCGCTTTGCAAGTCTGCCCGACTTCTCCAAAAAAAGTTTCTATCTTATTGCGGAAGGGTTTCTATCTTGCCACGGCGCTCCGGTTTTGCACGCCCTGACTTTCCCAAAAAAAGTTTCTATCTTCTCCAGGATCGTTATACTGGCTCGTGCATCTCGCTAGCGCTATCTTGCTCGTGCTACTGGCTTGCGCCATTTGCTAGTGGCATTTTGCTAGTGCAACTCGCTAGTGCTACTTGCTAACGCAACTTGCTTGCGCAACTTGCTGGTGTCATCCGCTGGAGGTTTTTCCTGCAGCGCTCCTGAATCCCTAGCATCATCAGTCGCCTAGAGCCCCCCTCCCCCGCTTCATGCGATTTTGGCTAAGATGGTGGCTGCCCCGCGCAAGCCCTCTAGTTGCTTTGCTGGTAAAATGCTTCTCCATTCCAAGGGTTTGTTGACCCGGAGCAAAACTGTCAACGAAACCGTCGACTTCTTTGTGGCTCATCACCATCACACTCATCATCACCCTCCTTCTCCTCAGCGTCATCCTCCTCATCCTCGCCATCATGACCCTCATCACCATCATCATCATCATCATCGTCACCACCTTCATCAGCCACAGAATCAACAGAATCCTCCTCACCCACCCTCATCATCACAGCGCTGCAAAAGTCCAAGCTATATGCTTTGTGCCCAGCACTCGCAAATGCCAGCCCAGTCTGGTCAACTCCACGAGTGCTTTCAGGACCCAAGCGATTCTCTTGTTATAAGATGATAGAAGGCACCAACCGGAAAAATGCGAGTAGGAGAACATGTCAAGAAACCGCTTTTTACACCTTGTCCCCGCCAGAACAGCTCTCTGCTGTCGAGTCAGTGAAGGCCACTTGGCTGGGCGATGCGCCGCAAGGATGCAAACCTGCACTTGACCAAGAAGCGCGGCGCTGGCTTCCAAAAAGCAGCTCAGTATCCTGAGCGAAGCAATCAGCCGGATGTCCCAGTATATGTGTTTATCAAGAAAACAGACACATTTAAGGCTCGATAGGGCTCTGCTGATGTGCCACAAGGATGCAAAGCTGCAAGTTGACCAAGAAGTGCGGCGCTGGCTTCCTAAAAAGCAGCTCAGAATCCTGAGCAAAGCAATTAGGCGGATGTCACGGTATTTGTTTATCGAGAACAAAAGTACATATTCAAGGCTAGACGGGGCTCTGCTGCACTGGCTTCCAAAAAGCAGCTCAGAATCCTTAGCAAAGCAATCAGGCGGATGTCACGGTATATTTGTTTATAGAACAAAATGGAGGGCTCTGCTGATGCGCCGCAAGGATGCAAACCTGCAGTTGACCAAGAAGTGCGGCGCTGGTTCGAATCTATGTTTCTAGCTGGACTGCTTTTGATGCTTCTCAATTGCGCTTGCGCGCTACTGCCACGTGAGACGCAGGGAGCCGAAGGGGTTACTGGATGCCAAGCAAGGCAGGTCAGCCTCAAAACTGGGTAAGTGCCCGGGACCTTCATTTTTCCTGTTGAGGGCTGTAAGCAGGCTGGCACAAGCAAGGTCAGCCCCAAAACTCGCAAAGAAGAAGCAGCTTCAGTTAGTTTTGCCCGGGGCCCGCGGCCTTCATTTTTCCTGTTGAGGGCTGTAAGCATTAAAAAACGGCCAGCTGGCAGCAAGCAAGGTCAGCCCCAAAACTCACAAAGAAGAAACAGCTTCAGAGGACACAGGACACACTGACAGAGAGACACTCAGACGAACATGCACATACACTCAGCGACGTACAGACACGCAGGCACACAGAGACACAGAGGGAGAGAGAGACGCACAGACACAGAGACACACAGACACATAGACACAACCCGCACAGGTGTGTTGTTGTTTTGGGCAGGCCCAGATGGTTTGCGCATTTGGATATCCAGACCGAATTCGTCCCAATACCGCCTTCAACCCCAAGATGTCTGGGAACTTGTCATCCTTCCCACGTGTTATCGGATTTTGGCCGTCAGATGTCGCCAGAAAAGGCGCGCTGAGGGTTTGGACTGAAAGAGCTCCCGGGAAGACCATGTCTGGGCTCTCCGATCCCAAAACATTTTGTCTTTTGGGGTAGATAAATATGAAACAGAATCAGACAATTTGATTTAGAGTGTGCCTCAGAAGTGTGCCAAGTTAGTGGCAATCAAAGGCAGGTCTATTGGGAGCCCTGAAAGCAGTACTAAACTAAACTCTGGTTGTCCTTCATTTCTCCCTTTCGACCTTCAACCAGCAAGAAGTTCGCTTTTTGCTGGGGTTCAGTCGCCTGGCCAAAGGTCTGGGTTTCCTCCATGTCGCAGAATCTGTGTTATTTTGCGTGTCGTTTCTCTTCGGGAATCTAGGGACTCGATTTCACTGCCGAAAAACCGTTTCTCTTCTGCAATCTTAGGGCCCGAACCGATTTCACTGAGAAACGGGGACCAACCCACCCCCACCCCCACCCCCACCCCCACCCCCAAGAACCCCTCGGCTCAGGATGTCTTCTTGCTGGTCTTCATTCTGGCAGTTCTGGGACTGTCCATTGCTCCTTGGATTCAATCCTTCGATTCGAGAACGCAGTCGAAGGACACCGAAAAATCGGGGGGCCGAAGCTGTGTCTGTGTAAAAACGCCCCCCCCGATAATTACGCCCCTTTTGGTTTTACCAACACTTGCTGTTAGGCCTGTTAGGCATATTATGTTTTGTGTGTTTGTTTGAGGGTACCGTACCATGGTTTAAAAAAGGCCCTCTTTAAGTTTAAAACAAAAGTTGCTTTTCTGCTTGCTTGGGCGTGTTTGTTTGGGCCAACTACTGGGCATGTTCGGCGAAAGGTTTTGTTTGATGTGGTTCAAACAGTTTCAGGGAACCCAGTTTACCGCACAGAGGTGGCCAACATCCGGCTGTTGCTGCACTACCAGCAGCCGGAGGAAGGGGTGCCCAGTTGGGAGTTGGAGGCCTTCAGTCCTTCTTCCTGAAGGCATACTGTGGATGGACAAAATCCTGCACCACTTGAATCCATGGGAAACCATTATTTGTTGGTATTTACGGTGAGGCATCATCCTTCCAGGGTTTCTTGGGTGGTGCAGGATTTCGTCCACCCACAGTAGCGAGCGTGGTCGGTTTCCTGCAACCGAATGGAACACTGGCAGGAGCGGCCAACATTTGGGATACAGTCTAGCTGGCTGGAGGGGAGTCAAGGAGCTGGGGATATCCAAATTGTGTTTTTCAAGAGGGAGCTAAGGAGCTACCAGGACCTTGTAAGGAAGTGGTTGCGGTGATACACTCTGCAGACTGCACGTCAATCGACTTTGCATCAGGATGCTGGTTACACCTCCATCGCGGTCAAGGCGCATTGCATTAATTTTGCGCCCCTGCTCAAGTTTGAGTTCTTCCGGTGGCTTTTGTTTGCCGTCGAAACGTTATGTTTCTCTACGCAGGTGGTGATCGTGTCAAGCCTGACCCTGGCGTGGATGGTGAATCTTTTGCTGCCCATCGATGTGCGAAACTCCAGGCGGGGCCGAGGAACGTGTAGCCATGCCTGACCATGGTTGTTGTTGTTGGGACACATGTTTCCAGTATTATATATATATATATATATGATTTGCTTATTGTGGTTTAGTGGTTGAAATCCAACCAATTGACTGCTATTTTTTTTTTTAAAGCTCCCCTTCCAAGGTCAACCAAGTG